CTGCACCTCCGACTAACGTTTCAATATTGCATTTTGTAAGCATTTCAGGGACTTGGTGTAAACGCAGTCTCAGGGCCTGAATCGACCTGTGGGCTTCGCAAACGCGAATTTCATGGTTTCAAAAGAATGTTGGAAATCAAAAACCCAATCAGCCAATCGCTCACTTGACATGCAATTTTGCAGGTTAGGTATAGGTTAAGAGTGCCCGAAAACCTTTCAAATTCGATTCCAAGAATTTAGCCACTTCGTCGTTTCTAGCTTTCTTGCACCATATATTCGTTATATTTCGCCTGTAACCAAGAAGGTTGCAGTAAATTTCAAGCGATGTTCCATATATTTCACTGTGTATGCTCAATTCAGCGAGTGGCTCAATATATTTCGGGGTGCAATCGATATATTTCGAGCGAAAATAGAAAGGAATCACTTCAACCGAAGTTCTCGCGGGCTTTCGCTCATTCATCAAAACGACGGTCGATGGAACAAGCCCTTCCCGCAGCGTTTGCCACACCAGTACGTTCCAATACATACCCTATGTACTTAGTTGCCGTGTCCTAGCCATGCCGCCGACCCCATCGAGAATCTTTGGTCCACAATGACGAGCCACAGCAAGACGTTGCTGCGCGAGCGCCTTGCTGCGTTTATGGGACCTCGTCCTGACGGACAAACTCGTGACGAGTTTCGTATGGCTTACCTTGAGCACATCGCCGACGAAGTCATCGCAGGTATGGATCGTGGATGAAAACGTAACTTATATATGTCGACGTGAATCGCCTGCACCGTTGCTCGTTGCGGCTCGAATACTTCTACGGCCGCGGAGAACATGGAAGTTACAGCCTGATCGACCAACAATTGCATTTTACGTCGAAAGTCAGATTGATTAACATTTTTTATTGAAATATATCGAATATATTGAGCGAGTGCTCAATATATTTCGGGGTGCATTCGATATATTTCAATAAATTAACCGAAAAAAGGTGTAGTACACCATTTTGCGCTTAATTTCAGCTTTTTTTCAATATATTTCCACCAACCTCCGATATATTTCACCGAATCGCCAATATAATTCACCCAACCTCTATTATATTTCACGCCAAATTGAAATTTGGCCATTATATTTCACCCAACCCCCGATATAATTCACCCAACCAACGGATAATTTCACCTTTTGAAAATATATTTCACCTGACCACCTATATATTTCATGAAAAGTAAATCCTTTACGCCCGAGAGAGTATAAACCAACACATCTACGGCTCAAGCACCAACGTCCAAGTCTTGCATCTTCGTAGCACGGACATAAAACGGCTTAAAGAGAGCAGTGTACATATGCAAGCGATTCGGCTCAATTCATATTCCATTGTTGAGTTAAATACGATACAAATGCACTGAATACCTTCAATTGCCTCGTCCCCTGTGTGTTCCAAGTATTGCATGCGAAACTCATTACGAGTTTGGCCATCGGTGGCAGCCCCATATTCGATCGTTTTGTGTATTATATGTAGCTTACTGCGTTGCATTGGTGTCAACGACTTTAACATGATCCATCCTTTTGCAGTGGACTCGTTGATTCCATATGCACGAGCAACGGTCTTCCAGTCTTGTCCGGCGTCGTGTGATGCAACCACACGTCTCTTGGCAGAGAGGAGAACTCGCTTGTAGGGATCACGTTGGGGTGGCTACTATGACATGTTAGCGGTGGATCGTTCTATACAGAGAGATGTACCGGAGTTTGTGGTGCAGGGATGGCCTCTTCCATCGAGCTCAGATTCAAGAATGGTGAAAGCGCGCGAAACTCTTTGCGCGCTTCAATATTTCTAGATTCCCAACTCGAATTATAATGATTGTTAGGTGAATTATATTTTCGAAACGTGAAATTAACCTGTGGTTGGGTGAATTATAACGCAGATTGGGTGAAATATAACGCGATATTATACATCGGCGTGAAATATAATGGAGGTTGGGTGAATTATATTGGCGATTCGGTGAAATATATCGGAGGTTGGTGAAAATATTTTGAAATAAAGCTGAAAATAAACGCAAAATGGTGTAGTAGTATGTATGTATACCAGGGTAACGTTGCTGTAGTAGTTACTGTAGTTTTGAATTCGATTGACTAGAAAATGAAACCCCCTTCGACGCCTTTCTTTTGGTCTCACTGTCAATCCAAGCCATGACATTTTTTCATTCCTCCAAGACGAGCATGTTGACCTTCTTCAGTGGGGACCGCAAGCGCGTGACCATTTGTCCAGGGAACATTCCCATTCTCACGGAAGTTGTGTCGGCCCCATTGCTTGCCACCACGGATGGTGACTCGAGCTTGTTGTCTGATGTCGTGGACTCTCAATCAACTCTGGGGGTTCCTTCTGTTGCTGGTATCAAGCCCCAGAAGTGTCCCAGTCCATCCAAATTTCGACGCTCAAAGCTTCCTTCCGCGATCCAACGCAAGATTGAACACTTTCGACAACACACCGGCAGCCTCTACGGGCTCGCCCTCCTCGCTGGCGGCAACGTCCTCTTTAGCTTTATGGCCGTACGTCGTACTACACCTTCGTTCCCCCTAGACCCTTATAACCCTCCATCCTTACAGGTTCTCATCAAATCGGCTGGAAAATACTTGTCGTCGGAGGAGACTGTGTTTTGGCGATCGACGGTCGCCCTCGTGTTGAATGTGGTAGGATGGCCTACATATTTGCGTGCATCGTATGTTCTAACCATTTGCGTAGTCCATTCAATTGCGCTTGAAGATCCCCCCGTTCACTGTAGCGCCAGAGTTTCGCAAGTTGCTTCTGTGTCGGGCGTTGGTTGGTTACGTAGCGATGACGCTGTCTTTTTACGCGTACTCCACCATGATTTTGTCCGAAGCACAAGTGATAATATGTTCGTCCCCAATCGTCACGTTCATTCTGGTGTGTTGCTGTCACCAATGTCGTCATCGCCATAACTAATGTTCTCATGCATGTAGAGCGTTTGCTTCCTTGGGGAAATGCTGGATCGAGTCGACTTTGCATGCGTGTTGGTGTCGTTTGTGGGCGTGGTTTGTGTGGCGCGACCCGCGAGTCTCTTTGGAGATGTTGCCACGTCATCGCCATTCGGAACGTCGTTCGTATCGATGCTTTGTGCCGTGTTGGCCGCGTGCTTGATTGGAGTGATCAACATATTGATTCGAAAGCTCAGTGCGCTCAACACGTGGACCCTGGTCACGTACTTTTTGCTGGCGTGTAGTGTGCTTTCCGCGGCGAAAATCACCCTCTTTGAGCAGGTGTGTACCATCGTTTGTCATTGCGATGACTTTATGATACGTGTAGGGGCTCTCGATCCCAACCAACGCCACACATGTGCTGACGATTCTTGGCATTGGTGTGTTGGGTTGTGTGGGTCAAGTGATGATCACCAAAGGGTTTCAAGTCGAGAAGGCTGGCATTGGTTCGGCCATGATGTATGTCAACATAGTGTGCGTCATGATATGGGACGTGACGCTCTTGGGCGAAAGCCTACACGGATGGAGTGTCTTTGGTGCTGCCATTATTTGCACGGGGGCGCTCACCATCGCGTACCGCAAATCCAAGAAGCCATAGTACGATAACCACTTCTATCTAACACGTTACCACAATCTTGCCTAACGTTAACTAGCATCTCGATACAACCATTGTGTTGACACTGTACTCTGTTATTGCGATCTTGCTGTAAAGTGCAAATTGGACCTGTAACTCAAATCTAGGGTTGATCATTAAAGAGTTTTGGACCCATTGAAGATAACGTGAAACAGGGGTCATAATCTTCAATTAACAGTTATTCATAATGGGCTAATACTTACGTACTGTATGGGCATAGTTCCTTGTCACTTTTATGGTGCATTTCAACTACAAAAAAATGCCTTGTCTTTCGACAGCTATTCCAACTTTGTATTGATATTTTCTAGGAAAATAAGCCGTAATAACGATAGAACTGGTCAAGACCAACAGAAGTTACGGTTCAAAATTTTTGATTGGTGAAAAATTGATCGAGTAATAGAATTTAAACCAACCAGCCTTTTTGTATGGAAATATAGCATCAAGTATATCTTGGTCTTTGTATACAGCACTTATCCGTATGAACGTTTCCATTGTATCCGGATTATTCAGGATGTTTAACCTATTTACCAGATACAAAACGTAAGTAAAAATAATTTAACGTCAACATTACGGGGGTTTAACTGAAATAACCGAGGCGTTTAATAGTAAAACGTCTCCTCCTGAGGATGGCCGATCTGTAGTCTTTAGATGAAATGCACCATACTTCTCGTCTGGTGTGTTGAATGTCCATGGCATCAAATTCAAATGTGACTTTACCTCCCCAATTTATAATATAAAAACATTTATTTTTATTATTAATTTATGTCGGCTTATTGTCGATTTGATACAAATTTTGGGTGGGGCCGGTTTGTGAACGAGTCTGATTGGCTCAAATTTACGAAAGCACAGTATGATTGGCTAAATACTTTATACTATCGAACTATCGAACGTCCATTGCGCGCTATTCTTCAACCAGCATTCGACGATCCATGACCGCAGACGACAGTCCAGCCTGGAGCACGCGTTCGTCGCAGACGTCCCAACCTCACACTCGCAAGGCGACCACGGACATTTTGCGCGAGTAGCAACCGGTTGCATCGTAGAGCAAGCAGATTTCGAAAGACACTCGACGATTCTCAGTTCGTGCCAGAAAAAAAGTCCCTTGAACCTCTTTTGTATCTTTTGGCGAAAAACGCGAATATGGGCAAAATATTGAATTCTCCAACTTTTGGATCCAGAGATTTTTTCATCTTTTGCCTATTTCTTCGAAATGGCCAAAATATTGAAGATTTTGCCCTATTTTTTGATACGGTATCCAGACTCACCCTAACAATAAAAATGGAACATGACATTTGAGATATGTTCTGTATTTGAGTGGTGTCACGTCAGATACGCAGCATTCTGATTGGCAGACTATTTTTAGACCATCGCAACACACTGCAACGATAAGAACCCCCCTAGTTTCATCACCCTTGACCAGTGCGCGATGAAGCACGCTGTGGAGGTGTTGTCGCAGCGGCTGTCGGAAGTGTTGCCGACCATGGGCACAACGGACATGGACCCGCTCATCTTGGACGGCGACGACATGACGACCAACTCGTCGGGAACGGCGTCTTCTTCGTCGGTTTTGCCCGTGCCAACTACCGCCGTGCAGTTGCACCCGGCCGTGCAAAGGAAACACCAGCGTGTGGGGCTGTGCCTTCAAGTGATTGGCGCCGTGTGCTTGAGTTTCATGGCAGGTACGACTATGAACGAATCGACGAGCGTTCCGACGTGGTTGAAGTGACATGCGTTCACAGTGCTTGTCAAGCATACGTCGCGAGCCGTGGCAGTGGAAACGCTCGTGTTTTGGCGGTCATTCCTCGCTCTTGGGGCAAATGTGGTGCGTTCAAGGAACAAAAAGTGACATTGAAATAATCCCATCATGATGACGCGGTAGTCCCTCCAACGGCACTATGGCATGCCCTATTTCACCATCTTCATCGACGATTTGCAACCCAAAGTGCAACTTCAGAGCGTGTTGGGGTACCTCGAGACGACATTGTCATTCCACGCAGTGGCGGCCCTGCCAGTGTCTGATGCCAGCGTTGTGTTGGGCTCGAGCTCCGTTCTCACGTGTCTTGCAGTACGTTCGAGTACATTTCCTCGTCAACATGATTCACATGTCAACTATGATCGCAACAGGGCTACAAGTTGCAGCAACTACGCAATAAAGGCAATAGCAAAGTCAGCATTAGTCCCGTGGAATGGGCACTCGGAGCGCTGCCGCTATTCGGGTTGTTGTTCGTCCAGGGGCCATTGTGTCTACTTCCCCAGTCTGCCGGTATAGATCTCAACAGCAGTAACCTCGCATTTCTCGGAGGGTTCGCGGCCGCCATTTTGACTGGCGTGATGTGGGTGGTGATGCCGCACCTGCACGAGATTTCGCCCTTGCCAGTGATCACGCACACGTTGGCACTGAGTTGCGTCGTGTCGGGTCTGAAAACGTTCTTGTTCCCAGAGGTATATTAAACGAAATTCTAAACGATAGATTGATTGATCCTTCTCTTGTTAGGCGGTGGCGGCCACGGACGAGGCGCGGCCCCTTCCCCGGCTTGTCACGGAGGTCGTGTTGATGGCGCTATTGGGGTGCGTAGGTCAGATCAGCGTCACGCGGGGGTGCCAATTGTATCAGATCGAGCCGTTGCCCCTAGTTCCGTTCGCCACGGGACTGGTGTGCATGCTCGCGTTGGACGCCGTCGTTTTCAAGGAATACCTCCCCATAGGGCCAACGGTCGCAGTCATGGTTGCAGTGGGGGCCACCTGCACATTAATTTATCGAAAAAACGCCAAGTAGGACCCACAGAATTTCGTACCATACCCTGTAAATGTAATGGATACAAGCATGGCAATCCGCAGAATGATGAGATGAAGACGTGGATGTGGAGTAACGTTAATAGCATAATAGCATATAGCGGTATTGAGTAGTACGTCAAAGCAATATAAGCTTATGTATTACCTACCAGGTATGCAGACAAAATACTGTAGGCGTACTTGGAGCAATAGTATTGGGGCTACGTAGGGCGAGCTGTGTTTCACGTTAATCTCTAATCTTCACTCGTTCCGAATAAGTGTAAGCTTAGCGGTACAGTAGCCTGACTACACTAGCGACACTCTACTTGTATTTAACGGTATGTACAGCTGTATAGCATATCCCTGATCCTGCTACCCTGTAACCCCCAAGAATTTCCTTGAACGTACCATCCCCCCGTGCAATGTCAAGTCAAGGGGGGGCCACTCCCAACACTTCAAAGTATGAACACTCGAACAAGTCACGTTATAGGTGATCCAAAATTGTCTGGGGGTTCACTGTAATAACGTAAAAGTCCAATTTAAGGTCCTGCAAAGGCAGTGCAAAAAAATGGCCGATTATGGTCGACAATCCAGCGCACCCACTCATGCAAATTGGTGATTTTGGCATCAATGAAACCGTGGGCCTGAATTGTTTGACTGGTTCCGCGCGGCATCCCCAATGGTGTGACGGTAAACGCTATTTTACCGTTTTTGGGGTCAAATATGCAGTTTTGGCAACCCCAACGGTGCGACGGTATCTACCGGAAACGGCATATTTTTACCGCGAGACGGCAAATCGGCCATTTTTACCGTTTTGTGACCACCCGACGTAAAATACCGGAGCCAATCATAAACCACAAACCAGCATATTTCTACCAATAAAACGCATGTATTTGAGCATGGACATTTCCATACCAATACTACACTGCTGGAATGGCTCTCAACGGGCGGGGTGCGAACTTCACCACTGACGAGGACTGCCAGCTAGTTTGTTCGTGGTTGAACATATCCCAAGATGAGTCTAAGGGGAGCGGGCATAAGGACGAGCAGTTTTGGGCGCGCGTGGGGGCGACTATTGCACCTATTGCGATCTGGACTGCCATCGCACAGTACGATCCTTAGCTACCTGGTGGAGCAACATACTGGAGTAATGCAATAAGTTTGTTGGGTGTTCATTATGGTCTCTTTTAAGGTGCGGTCTTGGCCCCGGTGTTTGGCGTGGTCCGTTACTCATGCTTAGCATCTCCCAAGCGTCGTCCATGTCCTCATCCATGCCTCGATGGTATTGCACAATGTTGACGCCAAGCTTCCATATCCGGAAGTGACAGTTATGCGGATTTTATACCGTTTTACCGTTGGGGTTGCGCAAAAGTAAAATACAGTCGGTAAACGTCAAAATACAGTCTGATTATACCGTCGCACCAATGGTGCGAACGCGGCGGGTAGTCACCGTGTGCTGCGTTAAGATGGCTTAGTAGGTTCGAGTAACCTGTTGACGGTTGCTTGATGCGTAGCCTGAAGTCGACGGGGGCGTAGGAATGCCAAGTGAAGCGTCGCCTCGGCCCACTTCTCGGTACGGGCGACTGCACGCCGCGTATGTTCGTCGTAACTGACTGGTGGCTGCACTACCTTGAGTGCAAGTTGCTGCTGTTGCTCCAGCGGTGTTCACGAATGTAGGTATCGAATGCGTTGTTCAGCATTGCGTTGGGTGTTGTCTTGAACGGAGATTGAATTGTGATCCACTTCGTGTTTGGCCAAGGTCGGCATTCTGTCAGTTTGGTAATAACGCGGTATGTGCTGGTGCATGAACATGCGCTTGTAACCGAGTGAACACTGTAAATTGGCCAGTTAAATAAAGAGTCACATGTACTGTACGTATACAGGAAGATGCGGGAACAGGACAAAAACTCATCATAACACGAAGTTATGGAAGGCCAAAATCGAGGCATTTCTGGATGACGGAGCTTCTTCGGAGTCATCCAACTTGTTGGAGAGGGACTTTGGCTGCTGTACTGATACGTTTTCTATCGCTCGCTGCAAGTGTAGTGCTTGCAGATTCAGAAAATTTGCGCCGTTTCACATTGAAAACTGAGCAGTTCCGGATACTGCATTACATTTGCGGACAATATATTTTTATTGCGAATGTGCATTGTTTGTGGTGTACTCCGACGGCATGTCGACATGCGCATATATCGAAAATGGACGAACAACTTCGATGTCGCTTTTCTCGAACTGTGTGATACTTAGCGCAATCCTACTAGTCGAGAGTACTCATTCTCGTAGTACAATCTCATTTCCAGATTGACAAGTTCTTTTGGCTCTGTTGGGAGCGCGTCTACTTTTAGATCACTTTACACCTGATCTAAGTATGACAAGAACACACCGATGGTCACTGGTTCAGTCCCAGGTTTCCTCAGGTCCTTGGCATCGACACCAGGAAGCCTAGTTAGGGTCGAGTCAGAACCCTCCCCTTTCACTCTACTGATACTAGAAGATAGCCCACTACTAGCTCAGCCTATGCAGCATGGTCTACTCATGCACATATCTCTCTGTCATAAGGCACCTTACCCGCATGTACTGTACACGCTTGTTCTTGAAATACGACGAATTTGGCAACTTCGAAGCTGTACCCCGAAACCCCGAAACTCCGAAAAAATGGCAGATCAGTACCTGATTGACTCGCACGTGACAACTTGAATAAAGATGCATTTATCCTCTCGACAATGGTACACCATGATTTGAAGGAATCAAGGACCTATAATTCTTTACAATGATGTGTTTGTGTCCTGTTCCCGCATCACCCAGTAAGTCAGAACACCCTGTTCTGATAGAGAACATCCCCACTGTCCTGTCAGTCAGGTAGCAGCGTCTGCTAGATGTGTAGAAGGTTTTTGTGCCTTCTAGAGGCTTTTCCTCAGAGTAGAAGTCAGCGCAGATATTTGGTCACGGAACAGCATTGGATGTCGTGGTCAATCATAATTAGTTTTGATCGGCTGGTTCTTTTCAGTCAGAAGTAATTCACTTCCAGTTATTCCTTTTGCCTCCCACGTGTCTGTTCCTGCCTACTGCCCTTCCAACTGGTTATGAGCCTTCCACCCGCTACCTCTCGCGCTGCCTTACCGTTCATGCAGCGCCTCCTCGGCGCCGAGAACTTCGACGAGTGGTTCTTTGAACTCACTTCCGTCATCCTTGCCGGTGAGGATTTCACCGAGATGGCGACTCACTGCGTGCAAGTCGAGACGGCCACGTCCATGAAGGAACTCCATCGAGCCTACAAGGTGCTACTGAATGACTGCAAGCGCATCCGGCTGCACCAAGCCGAAGCGGCAGCACTGCCTGCCGGCTCACCTCCTCTCCCACCACTTACGCTCGACGCCCACCCACCACTGAGTCCGGAGCTCACCGAGTGGCTCGCGGACAACCGCTCGACGGATGAAGCGATCGCGAAGTCCATCCGCAACCACGTGGATGAGTTGATCAAGTTGGAGAAGACGACCATCGCGCGCTCATGCGCGCTGGTCTACGCCTCCTTGTCCCACACGGTCCAGCGTGATGCCGCGGCCATGGCCCAGCGCGATGCTGCTGCCGGGATTCGCGACGAATTTGCGCATTGCATCATTTCGTCTCTTCGGCGGATATTTTCCACCGACGAACAAAACCATGCAACGGCCATCTCCTTTTACCAACGGTTACACACGTTCAAGTTCAAGCCTCACGTGTCGTTGGGCGTCAACCTCCAAGCCTTCGACAAGATGCGAACGGCAGTGGAGAAGCTGGAAGGGTGACCCCTAAGCGATAGCCACTTAGCCTCGGCCCTCCTTGCGGCACTACCCGAGTGCATCGCTCCAGACCAGTTCGTATGGCGCGGCGCTCAGCCGAGCATCCCATACAAGAACATGCGCCAGTTGCTTGAGCAACACTGGCCGGGCTTGGTCACCAAGTACCCGCACTACCTCGGCCCAGCGCCGATCGCCACGGCTGCACCGGTGCATGGCTCGGCAACCGCGACAACGCGGTCTAGCGCATTGGCACTTCCGGCCTTTCGCGATGGCGCCAGCCAGCGAGAAGGCTACGTACAAGCGGCCACCGTACCCTGGGGCACCCAAGGCCAAGACCCCATGGCGGATTGGTGTGACTATTGCCTGTCCTCAGGCAGCCACTCGACGTACACCTGCACGAAGCTCTCCCGTGCGTTCCACCAGAACGCGATGCGTCAAGACTTCGTGTTTCCGACAGGATGGGCTGCCATCCCACCTGGCGAATTACCCCAAAGTGGTGGTGGTCGACGCACTCAAGGCGGACCAAGCGGCCACAGCGGTGGCAAACGCCATGGCAAAGGCGGCGGGCGCGGTGGAGGAACCGCAACATCCTTCCTCAACACCGTTCGCCAAGGTTACGCCTCAAACGGCCCACCGGGCAAAGCTCCCAGCTGCGATCCAGGCTACGCCAGCCTCGATTACGGCGTTTATCGCGACGACCAACGCGGCCGTAGGCCGTTTCGTCAGTGGGCCTCCCGCTACCGCTGTCGCTCAGGCGACAGGTTCCGCGACTACCGCGAATACCGCGGCTATTATCGCGACGACCGCGGCGCCAACCAATACGACCGGCGCCACCGCAGCCGCAGCCGCTGCGCGCCGCCGGTCGACCAGGCCCCCACCCCCCATCGCATCCAAAGCCTCAGCGCGTCGCGCGGCTCTACCCGTACGTTAGTGTCGCAGAACACACGTCAACAACGTGACCAAATACCTTATTTCTGTCTTCGCGCACACATGCCGGCATTTATGCCTCGACATATTTTAGATGATCAACATTCACATGTTTCATTTACGGGACTAAAACAGTCGACCGACAAGTCAAGTACATCCAAAGTACTTTCGACATTATTACAGGACTTCAGCCCGTATTATGATTCGCTCGATACTACTGTATCGCGATCACTTGTATTTAAGTGTACTGGATGGGCACTTCGTGTGTCACCAACCAGCCCGGTTGTCAAAGAGCAAAGTCGATCCCGTCACTGGACGGTAGACAGTGGTGCATCCAAGCACTCCACTTTCCATCGTGAGCGGTTCGTCACCTACGAACCATTCTCATCCTTTGCTGGTGCAGTCGACGGCCACCAACTCCATGTCATCGGCCGTGGCACAGTCCGACTCGAGGTCGCTGGCATCAACGATGACACATTAGTGATCTATCTGCAGGATGTATATCACATCCCAGATTATACACTTCAATTTATTTTCCGTGGGTCGTGCACTACATATGGATCGACATAAAATTGTCTCCAACACCCCACAGGAGTGGACTCTAGCCACCTACGACGGCGAGTTCACCGCAACCTACGACGGCGAGTTCACCGCAACCTACGACGAAGCCACCGGGTTGTATATCATTGCGACGCGGCTTTCACCGCGCATCGCCGACCCCACATCGACCGTCCTCGTGGCGCAGTCGAGTGCACAGGGCACTATGCAATGGCACCATCGACTGGGCCATCCAAGTCATGACAAGCTACGCAAATTGCGGTGTCATTCGACCGTGTTTGTATTTCCTATCTCTCGGCAGGCCATCACGGCCCATGCTTCGTGCGACACATGTTTAAGGTCCAAGTCCAAAGTACTTCCCTTTTCACGCAACAAATTGCCCAAGTCGTCGAGGCCTCTGGAACGAGTGCACTCCGACGTGTGGGGTCCAATCAACATCCCT